GCTGGAACACCCGTCTTGCTCAAGGCAGCTCAGGCACAAGTTTCACCTATGCGTAGTGCATCACCTGGAGTGGGTGACAGGCTGAGTGGTCCCCATACAAGCAAGAGAAGAGCTTAGGGCATCATTTGGGAGAAGGATGCAGGTGGAGAGCACTGGTTGGGTTTTCCTTGCTCACTTACCAGTTGCACTATGGCCAGCTCCAGAAAATGGCTGGAAACTCACAGCCTGGCGAGGAGCTGTTTTGGTCCTGAGACGGGGGATTTCTGAACTTTCAGGATGCTCTTGAACTGCATTTTTAAGGGTTTGTAACTTTTTTTTACCCTAGATGCTGTAATTTTGTGAGATGTAGCCAAAACTCTTTTCCTTAAGGGACAAGTGAGGTTCCCCAGGGCTGGTGTTGTCAGGAAGCACAGGCACAGCTCTGCACTTGGGCAGCATGACTGTGGGGTCCCACACTCCACAGAGGACTTGTGCCCCTAGAAACATCATCCTCTCAAGAGTTTCACGCTCAACCGGTAATATCAGTAATATCAGTAATAAAAAAATCACATGCTGCTTTTCAGACTCTGATAACATTGCAGATTGGATGCAATGGATTCCAACTGTTGGGAGCTCTGCTGAGAGCAGAGCTCGGCTCGCTGGAGCTGGGGCCTGAGACCAGCGTGGCCAGGTGCCGTAGTGTCACTCAACACCCTGGTTTTCCCCCACACCCAGCGCTATCACCAGCCCCCCTGTGAGCCTCACACCACGAATCAAACCCAAACACTCACCCAGCCAACCCGGCAAGTCCTGCAGGGACCGGGTGCTTGTGTGAGAACAGCAGCAGCAGCCACAGCCTGCCCCTTCTAGCTCTTCCTCTTCCTCCTCCTCCTCATCTTCCTCCTGCAGGGAGTTGGCTGGGGTGGTCTCCAGCTCACACAGCCCTCTGGGTGCGCAGTCCAAGATGCTCCGTAGGCACAGTGGGACCAAGACCTGGGGGCTCTTCTCCACAGGGCTGGAGAGGATGTCCTCGATGCTGAATGGACACGGCTTCTTCAGGGCTCTCCTACCGGGGTCGGCGTCTGGTGCTGGTTCTGAAGTCATCCTGTGCTGGGAAACAGGCAGCCTGGGCTGAGGGGGTTTGCTCTGCCTGCACTAGCTCCGTAGTGGGCTCTCACAAGGAAAAGGACAGCTTATATGGCTTTTTAAATGGACTGCAAAACCATCCAGAACCTCTGCTTTGTCTTGGCATTTCAAGTGACTGTCATTCTCGCAGCTGAGTTTTTATTTCATACACACACACTTTTCCTCCTTCTGACCCAGCTGCTTCGTGACTGAAGCCACCCTAAATATATATAGAGAGGGATATAATCCCTTTGGAAAGAAAACCGTAAACCCCCCTGTGAATAAAATAAATTCTAACTAATCTTGGCAGCTTTGTGAAGGGTTAGTGTGGATCTAAGATTTAGCTAATCCCACAAAAATGACTGGAGAAGGAAATCTGATTTCTCCATCTCGGGTGTAGATTTGAGGTGGTTATGATCTCCATTGTGCTGCAGCCTCCGATCCAAGGAAGGGGGAGGATAGCTGTTCCCAGCCCGGAAATGGACCAGAGGATTAACTCCTTAAAAGAAGCAAATTATCCCTTTCTCTGGCCAAATGAAAGCTTTCCCATCAAAAGAGAGCTGTCATATCATACAATATGAGAGAGGAGAGAGTTCAGCTTAATAAAAAATCATTTTTTAATGACAGCACAGCCTTTGGCTGCGCCAGAACTCTCTGTGAAAGTTGATTTATTTTCTGCTGAAAGCAGAGAAATTGTGTTTTCCCTCCTTCCCTTTTCCCCCACCTCTGCTGCACTAATCACTCCGATAATGCAGATGCTTTGCATGTATCCAACATACTCTCTGTAAGGATTCAAAGCCCTTATTAAATTAGATTACTGGCAGCTCACAGCAGTTCTGCACCATAGCTTAGTGGCGTGTAACCACCTCCTGCACAGCTGAGCCATGCTCTGTGTCGGGAAGGGAAGGGGAGGACTGATGCTGCTGCCTCCATGTGCTCTCAGGCAGGCAGTGAAGTCCTGTGGTCAGTGAGCCCAGAGCAGCCAGGACAGCTGTCTGGGGCAGCCAGGCTTCCCCAAAACCACTTCAATTCCCAGGTCCTGCCCAGCCAGAGAAACTGGGCTGAGGCTACAGCCAGGAATAGTGACTCAGGACAGGAGGGGATGCTTCACAAGGGCAAACAGCAAGGCCTGGCAGAAACAAGTAGCTGGGAATAAAATGAAGAAGGTGTGATTGAGCTCAGGTTGCTTAGGAAAGTTTCAACCAAATTCTCTTGCCCTCAGTGTGGCTTAAGCCAAGGTGAGTAGCCAGGCCTCAGGAGCTCACATGGGGAACACTCTCCCACTCAGTGTTTCCTTGCAGGGGAGAGAAGTTACCAGTCTCTCTCACAGCACACTGAGGACACAAACAGGTGGGTGCTGTGAAACCACTGCACATCAAACCACAGCAATGGCTCTGGCACTCTGGCATCATGCAAAGCTGACAGCCAGTTCCCAGGAGAGCCCCCTCTCAATCCCCCTTCTTTTCTCCTCAGCCCTGCTCACTGCCTGCCCTTCCTCACCTTGGAGGTATCCCAGCTCTGGGAAGAGATGCCCTGTGGCTATTCTACCTGTGACTCACTTAAAACCAAACCATTATCTGTAATTCCATCCCTGTATTTGCCTCTCCTTCAGCTGTTCCGATGACATAACATGGATTATAACCATGGTCCATGAATCTTTACGTGTTTGCTGCAGGTTTGAGAGGAAGATGCCCTTGTAGCTGCCCAGTCTGGATATGTTCACTGCTGCCCTGCCGAGGTGTCAGCACTCCAGAGAGACACCTGGGGATGTGATCCCCTAACCCCAGGGACCATTGCAAGCTGCTCCCAGCTTTAATTCATGTCCAAACACTGGCACAGAATGTGGATGTGGGGAGAGGTCCTGCTCCCCACACCATGCCGGTCCAGAAGGACTGTAGGGCTGGTGAGCTGGGACATGCCATGGCAGGTGCAGGATCCCACAATTTCTGCTCTTGGCCGTAATAATCATAAGCCTGAAGCGGATTAATTCTCCTTCCCCATCCTTAATAAAGGACCCCTTTCCCTGGGCTCCCTGGCCCGGCCCTGCCTTCCCACAGCACATGTATTTAGCCTATTAGGATCTCCGCTGATTGCTTTCTTTCATTCCTCTCGTACCTTTCACTTCAGAAAATGGACTGGTAATACTTCTTTTATCAAAGAATTATGGGATTTAGGATCCAGATCTTACAAAGAGACTTTTGATAGCTGCTGGTAATCAAATCCCAATCGGCAGACACTTCTCTGCACCCTGTTACTGGAGAGGAATAAAGGAAAGGGATTTTTGATGTTCTGTTTACTGAGCCTCTGGGAGATAGGATCGCTGGGCTATTTCATATTAGAAAAGGAAAGGAAAATAAAACAAGCAAGAAAAAAAATGCAGACAAGAGAGGACAATATAGATATAGATAAAAAGAAAAGAAACAGGCTCTTATCATTTTCTTATTGGTTAAGGAGATTCCAAAGCCATTATAGAGGATTAGCAAAAAGGTTAATCTGCTTTAGCTGTTCACTTGTCAAAAGTGAATTTATAGGGTTTGAAAATCCTTCCTATGGTGAAACAAGAAAAAAATCCCCCTTTCCCTCCCTTGCCTCTCCTTTCTGCAGGCAGCACAAGGGAACAGGAACAGGAGCATTGGTAACCCTACAACATGGGAGCACCCTCCTCTGCCTTGCCCCTGCCTGGATGCTGGCACCTGTGGGAGCTCTGGTTTGGCAGTGCTTCTCCCCATTCCATCATCACCTCCGTGGGGTGGCCATGGTGCTCAGAGAACAGAAAATCAGGTCTGAGGGATGTGAACTCCTCGGCCTTACCTGAGACAAATCCTGGGCTGTTTCACTGAACCCCTGCCTGGATTTGGGCTTCCAGACTGGTTTCTACAGCAGAACAGAGATGGATGTTTCTGACAAATGTTGCCAAAAACTACAGGCTGGGTGCTTTCCATCCCTAAGTGCAGTTCTTGACCAGGGAGCCACATCTCAGCATCCTCCTGGCCACCCAGTGCAGCCACAGGTGCATCCCAGCCAGTTTTCCTGGGCTGCCTGTGACACTGGCTCATCCAGTGGCATCAGCAGCCGATGCCCATCACTCGCACCAGTGCCACTGCGAGAAACAACACAGGGTAAAAACAAGCCTTCAAAGTCAAAACCAAGAAGCACTTTCTGGATAGCTGAAATTCAGTGGGATGCATTAGTCAGGTGCTAAAACTATGATTAACAAAACCACAGAAATAATGGAGTCATGGAATGATTTGGTTTGCAAGGTACCTTTAAAGATCACCTTAAAATCGTGCCTATTAAAATAGTTCAACCCTGTGAACTGATAAAAAGAATGCAAATAAAATAATTTGGATTAGATGATGATTAACAACTAGTGTTATAATAAATCTGTTTAGCTCTCTCCAAAGGCCATTTCATCCCACAGAAACAAGTGGAGTCTCTCCACTGGGTATTGGTGTTATTAGTGATGCTGCTGGTAGGGATGCTGCCTACCAGAGGGGGTACCCGTGGTGTAGCAGGAGGACAGTGGGGTACCAAACCTCCTCTTCTGCAATGAACCGCGATGGAATGAGACAACTATTTCACCCTGACGCATTCCAGGTGGCATTTCAGAGATCTCACACCACACTGACCAGATCGCTCTGTGCTCGGCAGGCAGCACCACCTCCCTGGTTTTCAGCCATTCTGGGGTCTCTCGCTTTTAACTGACTGTGGAAACAGTTTGGGATGATGATGATGCTTTTCAAGCCCTGGCACGCAGCCGGCGGTGGATCCAGCGTCGGGATGAAGGATTCGGCTTCGCGCGCATCCCTCCTCCCGAGCGGCGCTCCCGGGAGCCCCGCGGTGCCCGGCGGTGCCCGGCGGGCCGGGGGGCAGCGCTAGGGGGGGCCGCTGAGCCCGGCGGAGCCCGCCCGAGCTCCAGAGAGCTCTATGGTCTGTGGTGCCGGCGCTCCCGGCCATGGGAGCGGAGCGGGAGGCGCGGGCCTGCGCCGCCTTCTACGGGACGCTGGGCATCGCCGCGCCGGTGCTGTCCTGCCTGCGCTGCCTGCGCCAGTTCGCGGGGTAAGACCGCGGGCCCCGGGGAGGGAGCTCCTGGTATCCCCCCGGTTGCGGGTCCGTCGGGGAACCCCCGGTGTGGAGCCCCCGGGCATCGCCCGGCGCGGATCTCGGCATCCCCCCGAGCATCCCCCCGGCGCGGGCCGGCAGGGAGGGAGTGTGAGAGGGTCGGTACCCAGTAAGGGGTTCGAGCTACCCCCACGTGTCCCCAGTCCCTTCCAGCCTGCTCTGTAGCAGCAGGGCAGCAGTCTTTAGGATTTTTCATGTCCTTCTGCACCGCCCGCCCCGCCCCACAAAGAGTTTGCGGGCTCTAACCTTTGAGGAGTTCGTATCGTTTCCCCCACGCGATCCCCCCTTCCCCCCAGTGCAATGCTGAGTGCAGCTGGAAGAGAGGAGCCTCGCAAGATGGGCCACTCCAACCCTGACACCTAACAAGCTGGGGCACCCCGACCCCAATCCAAATCAAGCTGGGGCACCCCCACCCCAATCCACATTGCGCTGGAACGTTCCCACCCCAGACCCAACCGAGCCAGGGTATTTCCCCCACTACAACCTCCACGGGGCCAGGGTATCCTCACCCCGTGCCTGTGCTGCTCCAGGAGTACTGCCAAGAGATGCAAAGAGAAGCACCTGGAGGAGGCTCTGCTGCTGACACGGGTGCTGAGCGAGGGTCTGCAGGCGCTGGGTGAGGCAGAGGCACGACCCCTGCTCCGCTGCATCCTGGCTTTCCAGATGGAGGCAACCAGCAGCTCCAGCTCCTTCCAGAAACTGGAACAGGTCTGTAACACAACCGGCTGGGCTGCGACTTCAGAGCAACTGTTGGCCATAAGTGCAAGGTCTCGCCCCGCTCTGCCTGCCCCTGGCACAGCTCTGGAGCAGAGCATCCTTACTGGAGACACTGCAGGCTCTCCTGGTAGCACTCTGCAGCCAGTGTCTCTGGGGGGTCTGGGCACAGTGGCTGATTCAGGGTGTCTCCCAGCAGATGGTGACCCAGCTGGCAGTGGGAAAGGAAGCCCTCCTGGCCCAGGAGGTGGGCACGCTGCTGGCCAGCCTGGCACTGCAGGGAGAGGTGAGAGCTGTGCGGTGGCACTGACTTTCAAGGGGGTTTGGGTGGAGACCATGTGTGACAGGGACCTCCTGCTTGGAATTGCTCAGGGTCCTTCACTTCACTTCCCACCATTCCGGGGATTTGCCCTTGTTGCAGCTGGCAACATGTGGCTGCCCATCACACCAGCCCTTTGCTCATTCCTGGGGCAGCTTCTGGCACAGGCAGGACCCTCCTGTCCAAGGCACTGAGCCCCAGCATGTCATCCTGTGGGACAAGCTGTCCTTCTACCCCTACAGGTGCTGTCTCCTGGGGACCTTCAGTCAGGTCAGTCTCTGTTCCTTCCCCTCTGGGGGCTTCTCCAGACCACACCACCAGTGCACGGGACATCCCCTGCCCACCCTGACTGGGTCCTCTGCACTCATGGGAGGGGGAGTGGGGATCAGCCACATCTGTGGGATCTCTGCAGAGGTCCCAACAGCACCAAATTCTGTGCCCACCCACCTGGGACAGCTGAAAACCAGGCAAGCCAAAGCATCCCTGGCATCCGAGCCCCGTTCCCACCTCACTTACCAGCACCACAGCCCTTGGCTGAGCCGGGGAAACAGGGCTGGCTGTGAGCACAGTGCTGGGACAGCACTGATGGTGCCCCTTGCCCGCAGTGTGCATGTTCCTGGAGGAGAGCAGCCTGGGACGGCAGCACTGGCGGGAGAACCTGGCTCTGCTGCTGCAGCGCTTGGCCAGCACCCTGCGCTGGGTGCTGCAGAGCCAGCCCACACCCAGCAGCACCTGGGGCTACCTGGGCATCAAGGTAAGAGCTGGATTTCGGAGCAGGAGAAGGATCAGTACCTGCAAGGACTGGCTGGGCACTGGCAGCAGTGTCCAGGAGGGGTGTAACACATTGAGCCACTTTGAAAGGCCATTCCCAGGACATCACTGCTTTTTCAGAGGTGAGGGATACTGATGGCCATCCCTGTGGCACCCATCTCTCCTGCTCCTCCAGGCCTGCCTCCAGCTCTTCCAGGCGCTGCCAAAGGACGTGGCCCCCCTGGTGTGGAGTGCAGCAGGGAAGAGTGAGACCCTGCAGAGCCTCTTGGGACTGCTGCTGGAGGTGGCCTGGGGGAAGGTGCGTAAGACTCTGAGAGGGATAGAGCTGCCTGTCCCAAGAAGCAGAGCAGTGCCATCCTTCCTAGGTGCTTTCCCCATTCTCCTCCCCAAGGGAAGCCTGCAGAGGCAGCCCAGTGTCTGGCATGTCCGAGGCACCCTGTGTGGCTGCCTGCAGGGGCATGGAGGAGGAGGCAGTTAAATGGGGTTTGGTTTTAAATAGTGGTTTGAGTTGTGCCTTTGCCTCCCCTGCGAGTCCAGGCCCCGAACAAGGACACGAGGCTGCTGGCAGGCACAGCCCTGAGCATGCTGGTGAACACGGCCCCACAGCCCCAGTGTGGGGCCAGCGCCACGCTGACCCTGTTCCAGCTCCCCAGCCAAGGTGGGTGCTCCATCCCGAGCTGGGAATGGCCTCTGGCAATGGGTGACAAGAATGTTTGGGTGTGAGGGGACAGAGGCTGGTACCAAGCCGGACTCTGCTGCTGTGTCTGTCTCTCGGGGTCTGGCAGTCCCAGCTGCCTCTGGCCACCTCCCATGGCCACTCTGGGATGAGTCAGGGTAGTTGCTCTCAGAGCAGCATTTGGCTTTGCCACCTTCCTGCCATCCAATGCAGCCATTTTCCATCAGGCACTGGGGAGCTGAAGTTTGGGGAGCTGGCGTTGGAGGTCCCCCCTGTCCTGGAACCAGATGGGCTGGAGAAGCTGGTGCTCACCAGAGGTTTGCTGACATGCTGCAAGACAGACATCCTCAGCTGCCAGCTGGAGGGCTTCCCTCACAAGGTAGGAGAGCTCAAACCCAGCAGCCAGGGCTCGAGAGAGCCCTTGGAGAGACCTGACAGCCTCAGGAGCTGAGGACTTTCAGACAGGGAGTGAAAGTGAGCAATAAGCTGCTGAAAGAGCAGGAGAACCAGGCAGCACTCTCCTTGCCTGTCTCACAGCAGGGTTTTCTCACCCTGGAAAGCCTGTGCCTTCACCTGCCTATTCCCTGAGTCACTGTGCTCCCACAGGCCTGTCTGCTGCTGGACGTGGTCTTTCCAGCTGTGTGTGCCCTCACTAAGGAGCAGAAGGACTGCCACTACTACTGCTTCCAAGGTAGGAGGTGAACCTCCCTGCCACAGTGGGGAGGTTTGAAAGGTTCCCTGTGCTTGTGGTGCATAGAGCTCCCATGTGCTTCGTCTTCTCCCTGGGAAGATGTTTTTCTGGATCTTGGTAGCTGGTTTGGAAAGTGCTATTACTTTCTGCTCCAGCCCCAAGGACACTGACCCTCTGGGGCTCTCATGTACCTAACGGAGGAACTGCTGCCCCTGCACATGGAGTCCTTAAGCCCCCAGCCCATTGCCGGCTCTGCTGCAGGCGAGTCTGGGGGCAGGGGCTGCAGCAGAGCTCTCTGCTTTGGCAGCCTGTGCCCTGTGGCTGCAGCGCCTGCGGGAGAGCCTTCCTGCCATCTGGCACCTGACGGGGACCCGCATCCTGGCCCAGGACACCGAGCTGCTCCAGCAGGTCACGCAGCTGCTGTGGGACAATGCTGAGACCCTGGTAAGGCCGGGGTGCCAAAGGGCCATACCATGGCAGCCAGGAACAGCCCTTCCTTCAGCCAGCACAGCTGCTGTCCCCAGCCCATAGCACACCCCTGCCTGTTTCAGCTGAATACACCCCCTGGCCTGTGGCTGCCAGGGCAGGGGCACCCACTCTGCTGAGGGTGTGGCACTTGTCATGCACAGGCTCTGCAGGGCCATGTCCCAATGTTTCACCCACCCTAGGGCAGCACCCACCAGCACAGTCCCAGGCTGTCCACACTGCTGGCTCATTGCCTGCCATCCCCATATCCCCAGCTCCTAATCCCAGGGTTACCAGCCAGTGCTGAAAGTCCACAGCCACGGAAAATCAAGACAGGAGAGGGAGCCCACCTTAACCCCTCCTGTTTGCTGTCCTTCTCCCACAGGTGGAAGGGGTGTCTGAGTTCATCCACAGCTCCTTCCGACTGCTCCTGGAGATCTACCACCTTGAGTGCCAGCACTTCCAGGATCAGGAGAGATCCCTCTACCGACAGATGCTGCAGAGGGTGGTTTCAATGCCGTGGCAGATTAAAGCAAGATATGTGCCCCTGTGTGCCATCATCCCCTACATGGGCAGCCAGCAGGTAGGGAAGGCAGGGGAACGGGGAGGCTTGGTCGCAGCTGGCACTGCTGCCAGGGAGGCACAGCCTCTGTCCATTGCCTGTCACCTTCTACCCAGCTCTGCCATGTGAGCAGGCAGCCTTCCCACCCAGGGGGGCTGTTTTAGCATCACCCAAGACACGATATCCCTTGGGTAGTGAGCTGCAGCAGTGCATCCCTGGAGAGTGCCAGTGGGAAGGGAAGCTTTGCCTGTTGGTGCCCACCTAAAGCTGACCAAAAGCAGCTTGAGGTGGTCAGTGCCAGGGCTGTCTGCAGTGTGGTCTGTACCCAGAGCTGTCCCTGCCATATGCAGCTCTCAGTCTGACAGGGAGATGAGGGTCATCTGCCTTTCTCCCAGGTGCTGGATGCCTACCCGGACCTCCCGCAGCACCTCCTGAGCTGCCTCTCCACCAACCACCTGTGTCCTGCCGCTGCCGAGGTCTACAAGGTGCTGGTGCGGCAGCAGCTCAGTGAGTGGCAGGAGGGGCAGCAGGGCACAGAGGCGGCTCTGGCGGAGCGCTGGGCACTGTGCTGGCTACCCCTGCTCTCCCAGGCCCTCCGCTCCCCCCTGCCCATCCTGCAGAGCAACGCTGCCAACCACCTCCTCGCCTGGACCCTCCGGCAGCTCCCGGCCATGCAGGCGCCGCTGGCCATCCAGTTTGGTGGCCAGGACACGGCATCACTCCGGGCTTGGGTCTCGCTGCTGAAGGCACAGAAGAGCGTGGCAGGGGCCCTACTGCTGCGGGACGAGGCTCTGGAGCGGCTCTCCTGCTGCCTGGGTGCCCGTGAGGAGGGCATTCGGCTGGCAGCACTGAGCCTCCTCTGCTGCAGCCCCAGCACCAACCAGCCCCTCTCAAGCACTGAGATGCAGCTGCTGCAGGAGTTCCTGCCCCTCAACCTCAACTGCGACTCCTCCTCGTTCCGGCAGCTGCTGCAGGCAGCAGTGAGGAAGGCGCTGGTCCGGCTGCGGGACAGCTCCCTGGCACAGCTGCGGGGGAAGGTGCCATGGGGCACCGAGCCAGGCCAGGGAGCTGGGCAGCTCAACCAGGCAGTAGGTGAGGCAGCCACCCAGCACCTCCACCCCAGCCCCAGGGGATCCACAGGTGGGTCCCCAGCCTAGCATCCCTCACTGCTGTGCTCTCTGCCTGCAGGCTTCGTGGAGTGGCTGCTGCAGCTCAGCATCACCTCACTCAGCCCAGGCTCCAACTACCAGAGGAAGAAGACGGCTCTGCTCCTCCTGGCTGCTGTTTTGGAGACCTGCACAGACACCTGGAGCCCTGACAGGAAGAAAGGCCAGCCCCCACGTGAGTATGGGAAACCTGCCTGGAGTATCACCCCTGGGCTGCAGGGGTGATCCCTGACGATCCCATCCCACCGCCCCATGTCCCCACCACAGGGACCATGGCCACACTGCTGAGCTACGCCAAGCAGAGAGGCTGCTGGGACTTCTTCTCCCAGCCCAATTTGTTGGCACTGCTGAGCTGCTTGCAGGACAGCACTAACGAGGTGAGCCTCCTAAAGACAAGGAGAGATCATAAAGATGCCTGCCTTGGCCATGAGCAGGCTCAGAGGGGAAATCAACCATGCTTCCCCTCCTCCCATGTCCCACTTTCCCCCCACCTCTTCTCTGTCCTGGCAGATCAGAGACTTGGCCTCGGAGCTGCTTGTCCGCTACTTCCCTGCTACATTCCCTGAGCCCATCGCCCTGGCACTCTTCCAGCTGGCCCAGGACACCCTGGGCAGCCCCCGAGTGCAGGAGGCTGAAGCTGGAGCTGTGCTGATGAAGACCATCCTGCAGAAGTATGAGTTCCTGGCCCCTCCCTCCCTCTCCCTGTGGTGGCACAGGAGCCCCGAGAGTGCACTGGCAGCACTGGTGCTTCACCAGTCTGTGTTTAGAGCTCAGGGCAGCAATGGCTGGCGTTTGCAACAGCCTTGCAGTGGGGAGGGTTGGGGCACAGGAGCCTGCACCAGGGGAGGAAGGAACCTCGTGGCACAAAATGAGCAGGAAACTCCCTGGTCCTCACAGCAGTGTCTGCCTCTTGCCCCAGGTCAGACAGTGGCACCATGAAGAGCCTGGCCCTGGAGGCCGAAGCAGCCCTGACGCTGCCCAACCGAGGGCTGTGCTTCGCCCAGCACCTTCTCCACCTGCTGCAAGCCCAGTACACGGTGGCACGTCAGGACCTGCTGCGGGCAGCAGCCACTGCACCCCTGCACGGTATGGCCCAGCCTGGCAGGGCAGTGAGCAGCTCCTGCAGCAGCTCCCCAGGAATTAGAGCAGGCAGGAATTGCACAGGCAGGACTGAGGCCACATGTGCTGGTGCCACATCCTTGCCTCAGTTTCCCTGTATTGCCACTCCCCCTGCCCAACACCCCTCACCCAGCGCCCTGTTCTCTCCCCTGCACATGAGCCACATCAGCCACGGGCTCAGGCAGGAGAGCCAGGGCTGTGCTGGCACCACAGTGACCAGGGGTGGGTGTCCTGCAGGAGCCATCGCAGCCCTGCGGAGGTGCCTGCTCCAGGTGCCGGAGGTGGCCGTCTCCATGCGGGCAGCAGAGTTGGCTCAGAGCTGGCAGGAGCTCCTCACCCGGCTCGTGACCACGGTGAGAGACGTCACCTCCTTCCTCCTGGGTGCTCTGCAGAGCCAGCAAGGCCCCGGTGCCAACGAGCAAGGTGAGCATGTCCCCATGGGGGGAACCAGCCCTGGGAACCACTGACACGTCCATCACAGCCATTCCTGACCCAGCAGCCCTCCAACCTGGGTGGATGCAGTTGCTTTGGGCTCAGTGTCTCTAGCAGGGGACAGTGCTGGGGTTGGGCACAGAATGTTGGCCAAGGAGCAAAGTCCAAAGCAGGACACCTGGGCAAGGATGCTCCAGGTGTTGGGAAGAGGATCCTGGAAGCTGCAGGATCGTGCCTGGCTTTGGGTCCCTTTCTTAACTGCATGTAGAGGCAAAAGCCTTCTAGAAGCAGCAAGGCACCTGCAAGATGGAAGCAGCTGGAAGAGCAGTGGGCAAAGGGCAGCTGCAGTCCTGAGTGGGGCACATGGCAGGGCAGGAGCCACTGGGGGCCAGACAGGGATCTGTCCCCCTGAACCCCAGCAGCACCCCCTCCTGCTGACCCACACCACCCTGCTCAGACAAGGCTTTCCCTTTTGCAGCTGCTGCCCCATCATTTGCAGAGATGGGGAATGCCATCGGCTCCCTCATCATGCTGGGGAAGGACCAGGGGCAGGAGGAAGAAGAGGGGGACTCAATCCTCCTGTCAGAGGAGCACAGCCTGATCCTGACATGCTGCTGGGTGTCAGTGAAGGTAGGGATCCCTCCTCATGGTAGTGGGAGAGGGGCAGCCTGGCATGGTGCTCACCATCCTTCCCACCCCAGCTGCTCTTCACCTCCCCTTGGGGCATTCACCCTTGCTGGGGATGAACACGGGGGAATCCGTCCTTACCTCAGAGCTCTCACACACATCCTCACCCCTTCCGGGGAAGATGCAACCACCAGCCTTCCCAAAAGTACCTCCCCTCCCTGCCTGTGCTTATGAAGCCCAGCTGGTTCCCAGACACTGACAGCCCCCAGTTGTGGCAGAGCTGGGCTTCCCAGGTTGCATCCCTGCAGCTGCCCGTCCCAGCTCCTTTCTGACAGCCTCACAGCTTATACTCCTCTATACCAATCTTGCTGACCTTCATCTTCTTCCCAGGAGATTGGGCTGCTCCTTGGGGGCCTGGCTGAGCTGCTGCTGGCCCCAGCACTGCCTGCCGATTTGGGCCCCCTGCTGCCACTCCCGACCCTGCAGATGGCCACCAGGGTGTTCCAGGAAATCCTGCTGCGGTGCCGGCACTGGGTAAGAGCATGTCCTGACCTCTTGACTGCCCCTTCAGCTCTGGCCTCGCAGGTGTGGAGGGAGGGAGAGTGGAACAGGGCAGAGTCTGCTCCGGGGCAGGACATGGAGACTGGAAGCCCCAGCTGGGAGCCCCTGGCTGGGATCCTGGTGCCAAACCCTGCCATATCCCCACACCATCATGTCTGCTTGCTTTCTCCTTCCCCTTTCCAAAGAGGTTTTTGGGGCTGTGGGGGGCTGGTGGGTGCAGCCTTTGGGGTACAGGGCCCTGACACTGCTGTGCCCCAGGGAGCCGTAGAGGGCTGCAGCATGGGCTTCACCAAGTTCTGTGCTGCTCTGCTGAACCACCCGGATGCAGAGCTGCAGGCCATCCCACGGGCCATGCTGGAGCAGGTACTGTGCTCGTTGTGCCCCTTGATTCCCCCATGCTCCAGGGAGCCCCAGGGTTGTTTCCCTGTGTCCTCACTCCCTGGGGCAAGCACCCTTCTGGCAGCCAAGATGCTGGTGCTGGGCACTGCAGGGCAGCTGCAGGCTCTGGGCAGCGGGTTTCCAGCCATATCTCAGTGGGTTTTGTTTCTCTGCCAGGGCTTGGAGGCTCTGAGCGGACCCCGCAGCAGCTCGATCACGCGCCGTGCCGCCGGCTTCCCCATGCTCTTCCTCTGCATCGTCAGCGGGGAGGCCCCGGCACAGGCACGGCCACTGCTGTCCCGCTGCATCCAGACACTGCTGGCCTTGGCCACCACGGCACTGCCACGGGACTGGGACCAGACCCTCGACCTCCCACAGGTGGGTGTGGGGCTCCTGGCTGCTGGAGCCTGTT